AATGCAACTTTTGTTCTAGTTGTAGGGTTTTGTATGGTTTTTTTATTTTTTAGTTTTCTTATTAATTAAAAATAGTTCATATAAAAATAAAAAATAAAAAAGATTAAGAAGTGAGATGTATTATTATCTCAAAAATATATTAAAAGTTAATTTCAGGTAAATGTCAAAGGTAAGAATTTAAAAATTAAATGAAATAATGATTTGTGGGTTTTAAATCTCTTTTCCTTTTTAATGAGAAAAAGGAAAAAGAAAAGTGAAATGATATAATTCTTTTATAAAAAGAGATAATAATATTAATTTTCTTTTTTGAATATAAAATAGAATATTTTTTTCAAAGTGATTTCTTTCTTTATTAATAGGAAATTCATTCCAATGATAAAGTTGAATGAATGGTTTAATTTTTTATTTGACCTGTATTGAAAAATAGGATTATTACTTAGTTCAAATGAATTTAAGTTCAATGAAAAAGATTTTGTTAATTCAATAACATTTTAGAAGTGTTGTCAGGATTTTTTTTTAAAATTGGTTGAGATTCAGTAATAATAAAGAAATTATACATTAGAAGAAATAAATTTATGTTATAATAGTTAATGATAATGATTTGTAGGAGTATTTTATAAAAATAAAAATATTAGTAAATTGTTTTATATTTTAAACTTTTAGTATTGTTAAAAGAAATTTAGATTCAATGATAAAAATAGTATTTTATAATATAATTGAATTAAATTGGGTTTTATTAGTTTATTGGATTTAAAACTTTTTTTGGATTGTTTTTAGTTAAATGTGTAGAAAGAATAACATTTTGTGTTAGGATAAGTCTTGTTAATTTTTCTTTTGATGGAGAATGTAAAGTTTTGAAAATAAAAAATTCATAAGAAAAAAATTAAAAAAAAAAAGAAGGAGGATAATTAAAATCACAAAAAAAAACATTTTGTTTTTTTAGAAAAGACAGTAAATTTAAATGAAATTATTTAGTAATAAGTCAAAAAATAAGACGAATAACTCAGACATTAAACATTTAATAATCAATTATATAATTAATGAAAATGGATGACTCTTTTTGTTTAAATATTTATTTTTTAGGTTATTTTAAGTTATATTAAGAAAGAGTTAGTAAGTGGTATAATAAGTTAAAGTTAGAACAAAAGTCAAATATTTAATAAGTGATGAAGAAGATTACTTTTTCGTGTGGAAATACTATCTCAACATTTATTGGCTATTTTTAGCACAACAATATTCTAAAAATAATATCATTGCGTGTCAAAGAGAATTTAATAAATTATTAAATATTATATTATTAGTTTTTATTTATGTATTAAGAAATTTTTGAAACTTGCTTTGTTGTTATATAGACTGATTTCAGTATAAAGAAATCATTTTGTTCTTGGTATATGCTATTATAATTGAGAGAAGAGTGTATTTTTATTGAAATAACAGTTTTAGGATAATATGAAGAAGACAGTTTTTTGTTATAATTAGCTATATTCTAATTATTAAAAATAAGACTTCAAAAAGAGATAAAAAATTTAAAGGTTTGAATAAAGTATTTGTTGTCAGTTTTCTAAATATATATTCTACAATAAATGACTCAAATAAGAGTAATAAGAACTAATAAAAGCCATATACAATGAATTTGCTGATATTAATTTATTATTTAATTTCATTTGTTTACAGTGAAGAAGCTATTTGTGGTGATGGTGAAAGAGATTTATTTTATGAAGAATGTGATAATGTTGCTTTTTGTTCGAACTGTAAATGTGAATATGGATATTCTTATGATAAAGAAAGAAATGCATGTAATCCACATTGTGATATTGATGGTTGTTTGAATGGTTGTGATACGTCACAAACATGTTCAAAATGTAATGTAAATGAAGGATATTATGAAGACTGCCATGGATGTCAAAATGGATTTTTTCAACAAGGGTTTATGAAATGTATTAAAGTGACTGATGAATTAAAAGCTACAGTAAGAAGTTGTAAAAGCATTATAGAAGCAACCGACTTAACTTATATTCGTAAATTAGATTTTATTAGTGGAACATCTAAAATTTTACACTTAAAAAAGAGTGAAGCAGTTTTATCAGTAGAAAATTGTTTTGATAGACTTGAATCAAAAACTCCTTATTCATATGGATTTTGGTTTGAAATTAATGCAAAAGAAGAAGGGTATATATCTATTGAAACAACAAGACATTATTCTAGTTATGTTATTGATTATTATATTCTTCAAGGAAAAGACATTGGAGAAGATACACGAATTATAATATTAAACAATTGTAGAGATGATTTAGAACCAAATACATCGGAAGATTGTGAATTTGAGAACGATGATATTGATTGGTATATTCTTGACTCTCATGCTATTACTCATGTCGTTCCAGGAATTCCAAAATATGTATTTATTTCAATGGCATTTGCTGGTATATTTACAAAAGACCCTGTTGTTTTATTTACATTTCAAAAAAATTCATGTGGTTCATTTTATGAAGAAATTCTTTGGAATGATATTATAAATGGTTCAAGTATTAAATTGTTGAAAAGATCAAACATGTTTCCTTCTACTAATAAGTGTATTAATACTCCTCAATATGGTTCTTGGTTCTTGATCAGAGGCATTGAACAATCTATATCAATCTCTACATGTAATACTGAAAATGGTGTTAATGCTGGATTTAATGTGATAGAAGTTGATTCTGGACCTATTAATTCAACATTATCTTGTTCTGAAGAAAATCCAACTGCAAAATGTGTTGTTACTGGTTCAAAGAGTTGTGAGAATGGAGACACTTATCATTCAAAAGCTATAATTTCTTTAAAACCAGGAAAGAATTACTTTATATTTTTGACAACAAGTAATTTACAACAAGTTCAACTAAGAATAGACGTTAAAGCTGTTTGTCCTATGGGATGTGGAGAAAATGGAATTTGCAGCACAGCTTCAGGAGGGTGTATTTGTCTTAATGGATATATTAAAAAAGGAGAAATTTGTACATTATGTGGAAATAAGATTGTTGATGAAGAAGAAGATTGTGATATTTCTCAACAAAAGGATGATATTAAATGTGACATTGATACTTGTATGTGTCATTATGGATATGTCCCAATGTTAATAAACGGAACAATTAAATGTTCATTAAAGACTTGTGGAAATGGAATTCTTGATGATGGAGAAGAATGTGATGGAGGCATTGGATGTGATCATTGTATTTGTGAAGAAGGATATAACCCATACTATACACCAAGAAAATCTTGTTTATCTGTGATGTGTGGGAATAAAATAGTTAATGATGGAGAAGAATGTGATGGAGGAGATGGGTGTTATGAATGTGAGTGTCAAGCTGGATGGTACAAAACTGGAGGTACATCTTGCCGTTCATTAGAAATTGGACTTTTTTTAAAGATAGAAACAAGTTCTGGAGTAGGTTTATATATATTAGTATGGTTAAGCCTACTACTTATAATAATGTTTAGATATAAAAAATTAACATCAGAAATTCAAGAAGAATGGAGAGCACAAACTGATTTACCATTTTTGGAAAGTACAATTATTCCTTTTAATAAAACAAACTCACAATATATTGACATAAGAACAAATACAAGTTACTTTGAGTTTGATAACCCTTCAATCAATTTCAAGGATATTGATAATAGAATGGAAGTAGATGAACCTGTTCAAACAACTGTTGAATTAAAAAATAATTATAAAGAAGTACTTTATTTTACATTTCATTGTGGAGAATATCAAAAGTATGATATTATGTTTAGTCCAGTAATTGGGACAGTCCGACCTGGAGATTCTATTATAATAACAGTTAATTTAATAGTCAAATGTACTACTATTTTAAAAGAACGTGTTCCAGTAACACTTCGATATGGTAAATTAAAATCTATTTTAAAAGAAATAGAAAAGAATAATCCTGAAGTACTACAAATTAATTCAAGCCAAAATAGTGATGTTTCAGATGACCCAAGAAATAAAAGTGATACTACATCAAGTCATTGTACAGATAAAGGTCATATAATAACAAAGAATAACTCAGTGGTTTCAAATGAAAGTGGTCAAAGTAAATCAAAGAAAAATAAAGAGAATAAACTAAAGGATATTCGTAAATTCCATGTTTATTTAAATCTTCAAGT